TTATGTTCTTATGTTCTTATGAATGTGTATGAACTCGAACGTACGTCCTGCCAATCAAGCCATTGATCATGTGACATAAAGCGCAGGATCAGAAGAGGTCGGCAGCAATGGCAGGGAACGACTGCGCTTCGGTGAGTATATTAACGATATAATTTGCCCTTTGTTTCTGTAAGATTAAGTAACAGGTCATACTCGAGGCGTTGCACAAATACAGAATTTAATGGACGGTATCCCGCAGCTTTTTATAAAGTGGTTATTCGCCGCTTACCGTTCTGAGTATGCATCTGACTGACTTATTTATAAACACACAAGAGTATGTCCTATATTGTAAATTAAATGATTTTTTTTGCTTACCTACATGCTTACCTAAATTAAGTAATATAATAGTTAGCCTTTTAAAATGAAGCCTTTGTGCTATTGATTTGTAAAGTAAATGTCTCTTTTTTGTTGTACCTGTGATGACAGGGTAGTCAGGCTGAGATTGTACAGTCAGCCAGGCACCTGCTGAATTTACTAACGTCGTCAGGAAGAGAAGGTTTAACAAGTCAAGCTGCGAGGTTCCGTGTTAAGTCTATTCTCATATATAAGCCTTATTTTACCTAGAAATTCCAGATCCATTTATGGCAATAAATATTTGTTAAAATCTGCAGTGACCAGCGACAGAGGTCAAAGTGACGGTTCAAGCCTTCAGCCACCAAGACCATCACTTCAAATGGAAATGACTAGGTGAAAGAGAGAGTGTGTGTGTGTGTGTTTTTTTTTTCCTTTTTTTTCAGGCAAGATTCCACATTTAAATTTTGAATGATGGACTGTGTTGCAGACTTTGATTTTAATGCGTGTAATATTGGTAATAAATAATGTTAGCAAACTCTGGAAGAAAGTATTTTCTGCTTTGTGATCATTAACTTGAAAATATACATATCTCGCCTTAGGGTAAAATTTGTTTAAAAAATGAAATTGATGGCTTAAATGCCTTTTGGACTTGAAACATGGTGAGTGTATGTGCCACAATGCTAAGTTTCTTCATATTCATTAATGTCATGTGAGATGTTCAGCCTGCTGCAACATAATCTTGTAATACAATTGGTTAATATCAGAAACATTCTGATACTTGTATGATAGTTTGTTTTATCAAATTTTTTATAGGTCCTTTCCAGGTCTTTTTACTAAGAGCAAAGGGAAAAGGCGATTCCCAGCAGCAAACCTCGTTCCTGCCAAGAAACCTAAGCCACTTCTATTTGCTCCCAAAGCAGTGTGACAAATCTCCACAAGAGCAGGAGCAAATAGTCCACATGCAGGCGGGGTTGGGCCGTAGGACTGCTACTATAGATGAGAGCACAACACATGAAGAGGTAAGCATATGCAGTAATGCCACCTGTTAGCTGTACTGAAAAACAAGAATCTGTTGTGTATTGTATCTTGATATGGTGTGAATTTGATTTAAAAGTAAAAAGTTAATTAGCTAAATTTTAGATGTGTGCACACAGTGTGCCTTGGGGTCACGTTCTATTGGTAACATATAGCAAAGCAAATTGTAACCAAAGACTTTATGGTTGTTTCATTATTAATATAAGTAAAAGAGCAACAGACTATAGGATGGTTTTTGAGTGAATGTTACTCAGTAACATTAAGTAATTCAAAGCTATATAAGTCCATATATGAATGTTACCAGTGGTAATGAAACCTCTGTTAGTTTCAATGATGGTAACAGCATCACCATCTGTATTCAAAGAAATACTTAAATGATGAATGTTTGCATTTTCGGAGCTCAGACATGTGGTCTCCTACTTTTGCTTACAGTTATGTGATGCACTCAAAGTTTTATTCCCAAAATTGGAGACGGTTACTGGTGGGTGGCTGCTTTACAAATCATCAGGTAGGTGCTAACACAAATTTGTGGACCCAAGTTGAATTTTTAACAGGTTGTGTTCAAACTTCTGTGTTGAATGTTAGGACCTTTTAAATGAAACAATTTCTATCTAACTATCAACCAGCAACTGAAAACTAATTATATACTTGTAACGGTTAATGATTCGATATGTAAAAGTCAAATCAAGTGGAACATTTTTGTCTTTGAGGCATCTTACTGCTCGTTGAGGTGTTTTTCATTCTGGACTTTAGATTGGATATAATGTTTATTATGCCTAACATACTGTAAAAAGGTTGCATCTAATTTTCCCCTGCAATACTGTCTATAGGAGGATGGGGTAGCCGAAAACTCACTATTCTGGCTCCTGATGATACCAGCTACACAGGAAGGATCTTGAAGGCTGCAAGTCGTGGGGGCAAAAATCTATTTATAGCTCCAATTCAAGAAGAACTCAGCACAACTCCTTTACAACTAACTGATAAAACATTCAGTAACATGCCAAAAGAAGCTTGTCAGAAGTGTGGAGTAGCAGTTCCCCTGCAGCTCCTACTAGAACATGTGAAGTCTTGTGCCATCATCAATGTTGACACTGACGAACATCTGGATGATATTGGTAATGGTGAGTATTGTCACGTCAGCGAGGGCGGAGCTAGTCAAGCGCCACCACTCAGGAGGCAATTAACCTCCCGATATAAGGAGATTCAGCACTACAGGGCAGTGCGAAGTATTGCGCTCATGTTACGTAGCCTTACCAAGCAATTCTCTTGTCTCTTGTCTACCCGTTCTCCCGTACCTGATCTGTCTGCCTCCTGTCAATTCCTTACCTCTTCTCCTTCCTCCCACAGCCCAGATCCTGAACCTGACCCGCCTTTCCCGCCGAGCCCGGCTCCTCGTGTCTCCCCTCACCTTTGTGGTCTTGTCGTGTCCTTCTTCGTCGGACGGATTTACCCAGCAACGACCTCCTCTTCTGCCCCGCGACTACGAGTACTGCTACATTCCCATCGGACATCCCAGCACCCTTGCCTGTCCAGGGGCTCGGTCCCCAGCCTCGCTCCCTGCCCAGCTCCACCTGGGGAAGAGTTAGTGGACTACCCCTCCTGCTCTGCACTAGGGTGTGACTCTCTATCTTGGAACCTTTCATTAAACCTTGGTTCTCCCTGCATTCCTGGATCCTGGTCTCTGTTCCCTGGGTGTCGTGACAAGTATGACATGAGATTTTTTTTTATTGACCTGTTAGCATAGTATTAATCCACACCAGAAATGGTTTTCTTCAAAATAAGTTATTTTTGTAACTTGAATTTCTCAACAGCAGATAAGCAGTCCTGTCCTGTCTGTAGTGAAATGTTTCCCACTGACTATATTGAAGTACATGCTTCCTCCTGTGGAGAGAGGTATCTATTCACTTTTTATTGCTGACATTCTCAACTGTCCTACTGTAGAGCCCTCTGATTTCCGTGATGTAGAAAACATGGACGGAATCAAGGAATGAAAGCATTTATTTATAAATGTGGAATCTGTGGATATTGTGTTGACATTTTAAGCCTTTGAACCCTATAAAACCTATTTTGCCATTGTGTAGATGGTGTAAAATACCCTTGCAGTAGGCATAGCCACACCCCTCTAATTGGTCCTATGTGCCTTTTGTGGCTCTATTGTGGTGTAGGAACCCGCGACACGCAGATCCATTCATGAGCAACCCAAACTCTCTCAATTTTTATTGTATTAAACCTGACTATGACTTGAACTATTAATTATTAATAAAGACAAAATGATGCCCACCCACTATATATGCTTCAATTTAATTTTAACTGACCCACCACAAATTGACCCGAATATTCCAGAACCTAGAACTACATTTTGATAAGCTGCCGAACTGAAAAAGTAGACTTTAAGAATACGTGTATCAGGCAATAGAGACACAGCTCAATGCATCATACTCAGAAAACTACAAAACTTCTTTCCATAAAGGCTGATTTTGTTTTGGTTCGGCAGCATGTAAAAACTTAAAATCCAATGGATCAAAATTATTCCCAAAAAAAGGCAAAGACATGCAATTTGAGAAAAAATAAAATTGATTTTATAGGGCTCTACCACTATGATTTTCACACATTCATTTTAACACATAAAAAATGTTTTGTTGGTAGTGCAGGAAATGAGGGGAGGCATACAAGTACCACTAATAATGAACAAGCAGCAATACCTGGACCATCTGGAACCCATGCAACAGTTACAGATGGTAGGTGCATCTTAGGGTTAGTAGTAGTGTTGGTAAGTTATACATCTTCCATTGATTCATATTTTATTTATATTTTCCAACACCCAAGTAAGGTTTACCTTGCCATTTGAAAATGTCTTTTTTTTTTTTTTGTTTTGCTTGACAGCTAAGGATAATTTTCAACCAACTATTTTTTTTTTTTCTTAGACTGGTTAACTATGAGTGACCCTACCAAGGCCATAGCACATTGTGCGGGTGCTTTTCTCCGCCTTCATGAAATGGAGCATCCCTTACTTCTGAGCATGGACATAAGAAGAAGTCCTACTGAACAGGACATGGCTATTATCGCCTTTTACAAGCGGCCAAATGTGGAATGGGCACGACCCCTGATTTGTAGACTTGAAGGCAGCAACATTACAGTTGTCAAAAATACTTTATTTCCAGTCTCTTGATATTGTCAAATTTTGCATTTTGTTACTGTAGGAGATGCTGCTATTGGAGAGGGCGTAACTCGCTTTTTTCTCTCAACGTGCATTGACAAGCTGAAGTCTGGCTTTTGCATCCATTTTTGTAAGTACACATCAACTATGTCTTATAACGATGCCAAATGTTTGTGTAATGCTATGTTTATCTTACAAAGCATGGATAAAACAACCCAACTATTGTAAGTTCAGAGAATTCTAGAAAATGTTTTAATGCCTACATTGCTGAATTCTGTAGTCTCTTCATCGCATCTACAGTCTGACAACCATTCAGTTACATATGAGAATCTGCAATTCAGTACTAAGGAAGACAAAAAAAAAATCATAACTTTTCAGTGTTTTAACAGCAAATTCCGGTTTTACACGACTCTTTGACGGAGAACCTGGCCATTTAGTACCCTCAGCTTCCCAGTTCCTTCTGGAAAGCGATATGTTCATCATAGCAGGGAGGATCATGGGTCATTCCTTTCTTCATGGAGGACCACCCCTGTCAGGGCTGAGTCCTGCAGTTGTTCATGTCTTGCTTGGAGGGAGTCCTGAAACTACAACTCTTACACTAGAGGACTGTCCTGACCTGGACATCAGAGAAGCAATCCGGCCAGTATGTTGCCTGAAAAATGTATCTCTCTCATATTTTATGCACAATCCTTTTACTGTGTCAATTAAACTGTTTATCTGATTTTTTAAAGGAACATGGGCATGACTGATCTCATAGTTCTGAGCTTTTTGTTGGGTTTACCAGCTTGGTATACATATTACGTTTTTTCTCCTAATTTGCTTCTCTGTCTTGAAGCTTGAAGGGGAATCCAAACTGTCAAATGAGGAGAAAATCCATGTCCAGGACTTGGCCTATGCCTGGGACCTCCCTTCCCTAACTGAGAACAACAGGAGATGGCTTTTTGAAAAGCTGTTGATGCATGCTGTGAGTGGAAGTCCAGGAAATATCTACTTTCAAAAGTTATCAAACTAGTGATGTTTATAAATGGACATTGAAGGGTTTACACAGAATCTGCCTGAAGATAAATTACTCACTTTTCTGGGTATTTATTCCCAAGGTTAAAAAATGATGGTCAGAAAGACCCGAGTTTTATCACTGAGAATATGAGCATTACTTTCACCAGCAATGGGTAAAAATACATGTTTAAATGAAATACATTTTTGTTTTAAATGTCTTATTCTCAGAACCTGCTCTAGAATAAGCATTTTTGTTCTGCTTTATTACTCATAACAGGTAATTGGACGTGTCACAAGACAAATTAAGCAGTTGAGACGGGGTCTTAAAGAAACCCCGATGTGGGAAGTGCTGACCCACCGACCGGACACCGTGGCTTTGCTTTTCCCAAAAGAGGGAGCAGCAGATGTCATACCTGAGGTAAATATGTTACTCTGATCTTGTTTATGTAAGTAATGCCTGTCTTGAGTACTATTAAATATTACTTTATCAGCACCTATCACTCTTGTCCATCTTTGTTTTATTTTGGCAAAGACAAGTTGCTCTCTGAAAGTAGGAGCGGTTTACCCAAAGAGGATGTTACTGTAAGTGCAAAAATGTATGCCTTTCTCATCCATTTTTTTCAATGTAGGTGCTTCTTCAATGTATCACTTGGCCACGAGAGGAGGATGATGACGGAGACGATGAATGCTCAGGGGAAACCAAATGCTGCATATCAGGCTATCTTCGTTAGTTCATTGCTAATGGTAGGTTTATAAAGTACTAACAGAATGGTTGTATAGGTTGACCTCAATCATTCATGTATTCTCACTGGACTGTAGAATTAGATTGAAGATGTAATTTCAGTCACTGTAGTGTAAACTATGCATTGTGCACCCTTCTGTCACCAGTTTACTCATTCTACAGGGTGTTTGTTTTTGCAATGTCTTGATGAATAGCAACAAAGTCAAATTTCTGAAGCCATTTAATCAATGTAATCTACTCCATAGCAACACCAACCCAATTGACTAACCTGGTGAAATTCTGGACTGGTTGGGAGAACCTACCTACAAGTCTCTCCGTAGAAGTTGTCAAGGGCAGCTACCCCACAGCCTCCACCTGCCATGAGATTTTGCGTATCCCAGTGCATTACAGCAACTTCTCATCTTTTAAGAGTGACATCCTGGCCTGCATTTGAACTTGCCAGACAGGATTTGGTCTGGTGTGAGTCATCTTGGCTTGCACTTGCACTTTCCAGGGGCTTTGTTTTAAAAGTTAAGTTAGAGCTAATTTACCTTCTGTTAAATTGGTGTTAAGTTCTTAGCCAACCGGTTACACTTGTAAAACTGAAGTTTCCACTGGAGAGGGATTCCTTCTGCTTGTCACCGATGATCATAACATGCAGTAGGAGATCCCTTGTCCTCTCTACCAACCACTGACATGCTTAAATATGGCTTAAATATACATGGTTTGTGCTAGTCTGATGCAAGTTTAACCTGTTCCTTTTAAGAATATCTGCATTCAAATAAACCATTCCAGCAAGACAGGAGTGAGTGAACTGATTCTTAGCTAAAAGGGATTAAAGCCCAAACAAAACTTCTGGCACAGCTTTCATATTGAAAACTGGCATTCAAAAGCCATGTCATGATGCATGACAAGCCAAAATAATAGTACAATTTTTGACAATGTGATTGTATAACTTTACTTATTGTAGTTTTAGAGACTGACAAGCTTACCTATTGAACAAATGAAATGACCACTATTAAAATTGCTCTTTTATTGTAATTATCATTCAGATCCTCTAAACACCTTAACAGTAATATAAAATGTAAAATAGGGTCAAAATACAGAAGCCATTAAAAACTTTCCAGATCAGTACTTTCACAAATTAAGAAAATGCTCACAAAACTGAACTGCAGCAATGTAAATGTCACAGCCAAAGGACTGGGATGCAGCTCTGGGGTTAACTGAATCTCTTAAAGCTGTCATTTGTCCATCAGTTAGTGGGCATTCTGTGTCAGATACAATAATGCTTGAGTGGTCATCAAAAAGCAATCCACTGTTTTCCCAATCAATACTGGGGATTTCCATACCCTACACATGGATAAGGAAAACATTTTATGCAGTAAGTGACAATACAACCATTTGAAATACTGCATGTCCAGCAGGTCTTTTTAACTGGACCAGTTGTTTACAAACCCTGCCGTAGCTCATAGTGTCCGCCCCCCCGGCATGGATTAGGTGGACACCCTAACTACCAGCGATCTTACATTTTAGCATTTTTATCATATCGTAATTGCAAATCAGAACGCCAAACCATGGCAGAATAACATATGCTAACAAAACTTTAAGGAACGCTACCTCAATAAATGCTGCGGGTCGAATTCTGTACAACGCCTCGAGTATGACCTGTTACTTAATCTTACAGAAACAAAGGGCAAATTATATCGTTAATATACTCACCGAAGCGCTGTCGTTCCCTGCCATTGCTGCCGACCTCTTCTGATCCCGCGCTTTATGTCACGTGACCAATGGCTTGATTGGCAGGACGTACGTTCGAGTTCATACACATTCGATTGCTTAGCCTTGGTATCCCGGGTGTATAACTCGTATTTTTAACATCGTACTTTTTGCCTGTGAATTCGGACCGTCGAATTGTAGCACCATTGAAATGTTGACTTTGTATTTTTAAACCTCGTATTTTTGCATGTTCGAATTGGAGCAGCATTGAAATGTTGACTTTGTATTTTTAAACCTCGTATTTTTGCATGTTCGAATTGGAGCAGCATTGAAATGTTGACTTTGTATTTTTTTAACCTCGTATTTTTGCATGTTCGAATTGGAGCAACATTGAAATGTTGACTTTGTATTTTTTAACCTCGTATTTTTGCATGTGAATTCGGACCATCGAATTTCATATGCATATTTCCAATGCATAAATATTCAATGTTAGAATTTCAGTGGCATATAAAATTCAAATTCTGATGACACAGATTTACTTCCATATGCATTCATCTTTTAAGAGACTTCTCACCATGAATGCATTAAGTGACGTCACTGTGACTAAATACTATTTGCAATAATTGCTCATGTCCTGAAAAGTAAATGTTGCTGCTGTTACTATTTATCCATTACTGGTTTTTCACAATAAAATTGTCCAACTTGGAAACACTATTGTGTATTAATTTATGAAGGCGTAGTATCTTCCTCATATTGAAATAAGTCTGTGGCAATTCTGAAACGGATCTATGGAATATTATAGCGGGTTCTTATTTGCTCAGAATTCCAAGGGCAGATGTGCTTTTATTTTGAAGTTAGGTTTTTTTGTCTGGCCCGAGCGGCAACCGGATANTGTTAAATTTCATCTGCCAGGTGTCGGCCCATTCACTAATTAAATTAAGATCCCGCTGTAGCTGCTGAGCCGCTAGTTCAGTATCTGCTACACCACCCATTTTGGTGTCATCTGCAAATTTCACCAGTTTACTGTATATATTGGTGTCTATATCATTTATGTAAAATTGTCCTGCACAGCGAAAAATCCTGCTTAATGAAACAGGTTCCAGTTCTATCCCAGTCATTAGCCATTTTTAGCAATATCAGTTGATAACACAGTATTTGAGGGGGGTTTCCAGTTGAACCTTTCAACAAGGAGCTCTGAATTTCCGAGTTATGAGTTCAAATGGAACGCTGCATTACTATACTGCTTAAAAATGTTATCTTTAAACACAACAGTAACTTACCCAGTTCTTCCATTGGGGTGACCAAAATCCAAGTGCACAAGCATTACATCATTATAAACGGATCAGCTAACCATTGTAAACATTTCATCCAAACTATCGGTGATAAACAGAATTTTACCATTTATTTTTGTTGGGGCATTTCATCCAACTATTACCTCACACATCTGGGACCCGGGTTCGGGTCTCTGCCATGGCTCCATGTGTGTGGAGTTTGCATCAATTTCAGCTTAGACCTCAAACTGGTGCTGATGTCCTGTTGCCTTTAACAAACATTTCTTAACATTTCAAGTATTTTCACTTTTTCAGGTTAAATCAGAGGCAATTATAGATTTTTTTTTTTACAGAAGCCAGTATTAAGCAAATTTACCCAAAAGGTTATATAATACTAATCTCTTTATTGCTGTCTCTTTATTTAGTTTCTCAGAAGGGTGTGAATTTTGCTCAGGTAACATGGCCAAATCGTGTAGTTCAGGACACTACTACCTTGAACACTTGCACTGATAACTCACGACATATAACGGTGCCCTGCATTCATCTGCCTGCAAGACAACTACCTC